CTCCCTGCAGTCAGGGCCCCTCCCCACCCCTCCCTGCAGTCAGGGCCCCTCCCCACCTCTCCCTGCAGTCAGGGCCCCCCCTCCAGGACCCTGCATCTGGAAGACTTGTTAACCCCCCCGCACCCAGGGGCCCCCAGACTCAGTTTTCAGATCCCAGGAGTCTGTGGGGAGGGGGAGGGTGTGCATTCCTCAGATTTTCCCTTAGGGGCAGCAGCGGTGGGGGAGGGGCTGCTCATGCTGCCTGGTGGGCCTGAGCCAGAGCTCCCGGGGGTGGGGGGCGGGGGTGGTGGTGGGGGGTGGGATGGGGGTGGGGGGGTGCTCACTCTCTCCCGCCCCCCCCAGCCCCTGGCCTTCTTTCCCGTCCCCTGAGAGCCAGCAGGACACCAGTCCAGCTTCCCTTCGGAGAGGTTATGGGGACACAGCACAGGGAATGGCTGGTGTAGGGAGGAAGGGGGGGCAGCTGCCCTCCACCCTCCACCCCTCCTCTGCGGGCGTCCCCTCCTGCCTCTGTGTTTGGAGGCTGGGGACAGGGTGCCCCTGGCGTGTCAGGGTGGAGGCCAGGGACGCGGTCTGGACCCTACGGTGCTCGGCACGCCCCACCCCGGCACGGGCTGGCCACGAGGAGAACACCCTCCCCCCACCCCCCCAGGAGGGAGCCGGCGTGACCTGACCTCTGCTCCTGGTAATCCGCCCAGAGGTCCGTGATGTACGTGTGAACAGAAGCCACAACCTTGGGCCCCACTTGGACAGAGATTGCCCGGCCCGCAGGGCAGAGACGCGGATGCAACTCTCTGCTCGCTGGCACCCAGGGGACACTCGGCCGGGCCCCAGGCCCCAGAACGTGCCCACTGCGCCGTGTGCTGAGCCTTCCTTCCGCGCAGACACCCGGGGAGCAGACGTTGATGCTGTGGGGGGACGGGGGAGGGGACCGTCCCCGTTTCTTCTCTCAGGGCCTGGCAGGCGGCTCTGCTTGCTGCGGCCCCAAGCTGGCGTCCACACAGAAGGCTGTCTTGCGACAGGGCAGAGATGCTCAGCCAGCGTGGTTCTGCTCCCAGACGCCTCGGGGCACAGCCCAGAGACGTTTTCAGTTCTCACCCCTGGGTGCGGGGCCTGGGGACCCACTCAAAGAGGCATCCGGCCCCACCTGTCAGGACTGCTGACGGCAAGACACCTGCCTCCTCACAACAGGCTCCGTCCCAGATCTATCATCTGTCCGTCCACCCATCCATCATATCTATAATCTATCTGTCCATCCATCCGTCCACCCATCCATCTAGTCTATCATCTGTCCATCCACCCATCCATCCACCCATCCATCCATCCATCCATCCACCCACCCATCCATCCATCCATCCATCCATCCATCCATTCATCATATCCATCCATCCATCCATCCATCCATCCATTCATCATATCTATCACCTGTCCATCCATCCATCCATCCATCCATCCATGCATCCATCCATGCATCCATCATATCTATCTATCTGCCTATCTATCTATCCATTGATCCATCCATCATCTATGTATATATCTATCCAACTATCTACCCATCCATCCATCATATCTATCTATCTATCTATCTATCTATCTATCTATCTATCTATCTATCTATCATATACCTATTTATCCAACTGTTATCCATCCATCCACCCATCCACCCATCCATCCACCCATCCATCCTCGTGGTTAGCTCCCCAGTGCTGACCCTGTCCCCCTGGGGGCTGTAGGCAATGTGTGCAGTGGGAGGTGGTGGTCACAACTTGGGGGGGGAGGTACCGCTAGGACCCTATGGTTGGACACCAGAGTTTTGAGCACTTGTTCACCTTCATCCATTCACCCACTCATTCATTCCTTCACGCACTCATTCATTCAATCATGCACTCATTCATTCCTTCATACACACATATGTCTCCTCATGCATACCTGCATCCATTCATGCACACATTCATTCATTCCAGGATACATGCATTCACTCATTCCCTTGTTCATACACTTAATTCATTCATTCTCTCCTGCACACATCATTCATTCATAAATGTAGTCCTTCACTCATTCCCTTGTTCATACATTTCATTAGTTCATTCTTTTCTGCACACGTTCATTCATTCAAAGATACACGCATTCACTCATTCCCTTGTTCATACATTTCATTAATTCATCTCTTCTGCACACATTCATTCATTCATTCGTAAATACATTCCTTCACTCATTCCCTTGTTCATACATTGCACTAGTTCATTCTCTTCTGCACACATTCATTCAAAGATACATGCATTCACTCATTCCCTTGTTCACACATTTCATTAATTCATCTCTTCTGTACACATTCATTCATTCAAAGATACATCCATTCACTCATTCTTTGTTCATGCATCTGATTAATTCATTCACTCGTGCACACAATTTATTCACGAATACACGCACTCACATTTGTTCACGTGTTCAAATCCTTCATCTATTCATTCATTCATCGATTCATTCGCTCTTGCACAGATTCACTCCTGCATTCATTTGATTCATTCATTCCTTCAGATGCACACTCACTCATTCACGGATACGGCCCCCCTCACCCGGCGACGGTGCACGGCTTCCTTCACTCATTCACGGAGTCCCTCCTCTGACTGGCGCATCATTCAGTTATTCCTTTCCGCACTCACTCACTCACTCACTCACGCGCGGACACGCTCGCTCCCTCACGCATCCAGACCTGAGGTCGGCCCCTCACACTTGCAGGTCCCGGTCGCAGCATCGGCCGCTGTGGGGGTCCCGTGTGCACAGGCACACCCGCGCGCGCTCACGCTCGCGCGCCCACTCACGCGCACACTCGCCGGCGCGCTCGCCCACGCGCGCAGGATTCAAGCGCGGAGGCGCCAAGGCTGCACTAAGCGGGCGGTCGTCCCCGCGTCCGTGCGCCCGCCCCGAGGTCCCTTACGACCCCCCGGCGCGGCCCCCGCGGCTCGGGCTCCCGCGCGGCCTCCGCCGGGCAGCTCGCCGGGCTTGGGCCCAGGCCGGCGGCCACTGCAAACATTTACTTTGGGGCGGGCTGGTTGAAGGTTACTTGTGCAAGGCTCGAAACCGCGGGCTTGTGGATTCGGCGGGGCAGGGGCCGGGGGGCGGGGGCGCGGGGTGCGGAGGGCGGTCGCTGCCCCCCCGCCGCTCTCCCCGGCGCGGGCGGGGCGGGCGGGGGCTGCGGCGGAGGAGGGGACCCGCGCCCCTGCGGCCGGGCGGGGGCGGGGCCGGGCTTCCGGCGGGCGGCCAATCGCGGGGCGCGGGCCGAGGGCCGCCGGGCCTCCCAGCACTGGCCCAGCCAGAGGCCGCCCGGGCTCCGGAGGTGTGGGGGCGCGGGGCGTGGGGCTGGGCGGGGACCTGGGGCGCAGGCGCCTGGCTGTCGGAGCGCGCAGGAGGTGTGGGGGCGCGGGGCTCCGCAGGGGTCTGGGGAGGGGGCGCGGGTCTGCCCGGGCGCTCAGGAGGAGGTGTGGGGGGTGGGGGGCTGCGGGGGGCTGGACAGGGACCTGGGGAGGGGGCGCGGGTCGGCCCGGGCGCGCAGGAGGTGTGGGGGCGGCGGGCTGTGCAGAGACCTTAGGAGGGGCGCCGGGCTGGCCGAGCGCGCAGGAGGGGGTGGGGACAGGGGGCTGCGGGGGGCTGGGTAGGGGTCTGGGGACGGGGCGCCGGGCTG